TGTTTCAATTTGTCACGATCAGACTATGTAAATACACAAGGTCGAGTTGGAGCAGGATGACGAAATTGATGTGGTTGACACGAGTCAAATTACAGAACAAGGTCTAATTCAAGAATTGAATGCAAAGTATCTTGTCAATCCTCAGGTGATGTAATTGATAAACCACATTGTATTCAGGATATGAAAAACTTAATTCCAGCAGAAAGTTTATCATATTTGTTTGACAAAGCGATTAAAAAGGGCAAGAAGAAAGTCTTTCTTGTAGCTGATGGTAGGATCAAAAATAAAACAGCAAGGTCAATGAAATGAAACTTTTTCTACCTCGCATCACAGATGCAAATTTACGTAAAAAAACTCAGAGAGCCCAGAAAATTCTTAAATTATTTGGGGACATTGCTAAATCACATATATGCTAGTAGTATTTCGGGATTAACCAATCAAAATATAATAGATCATGTGACTTCAAAACCCGTGACAAATTTGTCCCGATAATCCATATATCTCCGAAGATTAAAAGTAAATACTCTGGCCAAATCATTAACTTCTGGCCCAAATGCATCGGAGGTACAAGCGAATCTCTGAGGTAAGCATATGATTATTATCTGTTAGGTTGACATATTGTAACAAACATTTTTGTTTAAATAAAAGTGTTTCGGTATACAAATTTCTACAATAAAACATTTGTCATTATCCTGATTAAAAGAAATAAACTTAATTGGAATGGGGCTATATTTTAATTTTGGCGTTGGATCAAAACTCAAAAGAATTATCATATGCAAGTTCCATTATGTTATATTTTATGAAGCGAAATTTGAAAAAAAAAAATTCAGTTGTCGATCATAGAAATTCCATGGAATTATGGAAAATGGGAAAGTAGAAACACGTGATATATAACCACTATTTTAATAACGGTTAGTAGATTAATAAATTTTATCGATTATAAATGTAATCTATTCATAATGCACTCATTATTAGACTGTGAATGCTGCCGAGGCTCTTAAAAACGATGATGTTCCAAATGTCACGTTCATATTGATTTCAAAAGTAAGATTTAATGTTTATTATCACGTAATGGTCCACATTTATTTAATTTGTCAACCTTAAAAGAAAGGTAATTATAAGAAAAAAAATAACTTTCATGATATACAATATAAATTATAAATAATACAAAAGTAAAACAAAAAATTATAGTAAAATTATTCAATTATTATTAATTTTATGTAGATTAAAACTATTGCTAATTTCCTTCAATGATAGTACTTCCAATCTCTTCATCTTGTAGCTTAATAATGAACTCTTTACCATCTAGTCCATCACAAAAAAATTCTTCAAAAATTGCTGGATCCGGTGCTGTCGCCCCATTAGAGATTTTTAGGTTTTTTCTCATGGTATCCGAAACATCCTTACCGCCAATTATGAAAAAATAATCTTCTGGATCCGTTGAATCAAATCCTTCAAAAAATTGTAATATTGCTTCGCAGGCCTGTCTGGGAACTCGAACGAATAAGACCTCTCCTACAGCTTTATTAGCATCAGTGAAATTTGCGCGAGCGACAGTTTCTTCCTGTCGAACCTGAAGGTTAGGGGAAAAAGTGGATGGAAGTGAAGCAACAAGAGCAACAAAGAAGAGAAGAGCCAAAAAGGCAAATGTAGAAGTCTTTTGAGTAAACATAATGTATTTAATTATAGATTGTTTTTAATTTCTATAAGCTTTTGTGAAAAATTTTTTTAGATAATATTTTTTTTTTCTTAGCGTTGAAAGGAAAATTCCATCCTTTTTAAACTGCACCTTTACGTCTGATAAAATAATTCTGCATTATAGAAGCACTACTCGACGAAGCAAAGACAATTTAATGGTTCTCAAATAAATTAAATTACCTTTTTAAATAAATTCTTTATTCAGGAGTACAATTACCCCATAAGATATGCACTATTACGGATTATTTAACAAAAAACTTTTTTTCCGTAGTCACAATTGGCGCATACTTGCATGTAAATCATTATTTAATTGAACGGTTTACATGCAGAACAAATATATTTGATATATTGTCCTGAATGCATGGTCAACAGAAACAATAAAAATACGTTTTAAAACCAATAATGAAGCAAAAACAATTTAAATTAACAATTTTCTTTTTAGTGCATCAAGATTTGAAGTGATGCACTATTACAGATTTTTGATTTTTTGTGGAACATTGATTTTTTTTCTGAAAGTTTTCATGCAGAAAAAAATGCATCAATTATAAAGGAAATTCCTTATAAGGCAAATTTTAATAAAATAAAAAAAAATCGATCAACAAATTTGTGTTATTTGATTTATCTAGTGAAGCACTTTGGGGATTATTGACAATTTCAAATTAAGAGGTGCACGACTTCTTTTGTCAATTCATTTGTTAACTAATAAAAGAAAAATTTAAAAGGAATTATTCTAAAATAGATGACAAAAATTTTTTTTTGTATCACAGAGCGGGTCTGTAATGTCATCAAAACCGTATCAAGTATCAACCATACCTATTCCTTCAACTCATATCTCTAATTCTTCAGATGATTCCTCTGTAATCAGTCCAGTCAATTCACCCAAAGCTGAGGTGAATATACCATCAAAATGTGTCAAAGGACTAATCCAGATAAAATGAAATGTCTTTATCAATATGCCATTAAACGTGGAGAGAAGAATCCTGAGAAATTTTCGATCATTACTGGAGCTGAGAAAAATAAGTGGGACAATGAGTGCTTCCGCAATGTCTTGGAGAAAGATATGCGTTTCTATCGTGGTGCAGTAGAGACATTATAAATTCCTAATAGATCGTGATATGTTGATCAGTGAAGAGTTATTACATCGTAGTATTCTAAAGAGCCGTTTAAACACTGCATGGCTCGATAATCTTATGAAAGAATGGGAAAAAACTCTCACTCAATTTATTCAAATTTTCGCACAGGTCTGAGATAACCCGGTCATGTGAGATCGATCACCTGAAATGCGCAGAAGATATTTGGTAAAATTATTGCTGAAAGAATGAGGGCATGCAAACCGCATATATATTCATATTATTTTTTTTTCTAAATTCGATTTGTATTTATTTTTGTGTATTATATCTCCAGTTACGCTATTATCATATCAATCAATATCGCATGATGGGGTAATGGAAATGTGTATGCTGATCCAAAGGGGATTAACGCAATGATGAAATGCAGTGTGTAATTGTTAGTGAAGATTCAAGGATTGCTTTCTCCTGCGGAATTTTTACAAGTGTTATAAAACAGGACGGTATCTTTTTTTTCAAATCTAAGTGAAGCTAGGCAGTATGGACAAATTTCAGACCACTCTAGCGCTAAATATCCTCAGCATAAGTAGTAGTATTCGTGCTTCTGCATTCGTATTCTAGAGATGAAACCGTGCATTTTATGTAAAGAAAAGTTCATTTCACATCCGGATGAGCCAATTAAAGAATTTACCATGGCCACTTGTGGCTGTCTTTATCACTAAAAGTGCCTTGAAGAATATCTTTTCATTTCTTTTGAATATAGCTAAAAATAGAGCCAATCTCACATATCCAAATTGGAACTGTAAAGTCAGAGATATCGAAACTCTAATTTCTCCCGATCTTTTTAAAGAAATGAATAAAACTACAACCTCAACTAAGGAGGACACTGTCACTAAATAAGTAGACTCAGAAAACTAAACTCCCGTGGGTGGGATGCTGATATAGTCATATAGTGCTCATGAATGAACTAGGATTATTAGGTGAAGAGGAGCAAAGTTTGTCCAAGATTATTACTAAGGTATCAAGTGCTATTGAGATCATTAAAGAAACTTGAAAATTTTGAAAATGTGGATAACTCGAAAATCTAACGCCCTATATGTGAGAATTGAGAAATGAAGAAATTATCATGGAATTCCCACCGAAGCCAACCGTTTTTTACTCTGCAAGCATATTGCGCATTATAGTTGCATCAATAATCCATGAAAGCTGTATCCTATATGTCTATTAACTGATATGGAGATTGATGATTTGGAAATTTCGACACACAGAAAAACGCTCTAGAAAGTTAGACGCATCTACTAAAAAATCCTCTAACAAGAAAGTGAAAAAAGCTGATGGAAAAAAGGTGTTGAGTATTCTGAAAAAACTTATTAATATTCCCGATAGTGGTAGTAGTTTGGAAGAAACAAGTGAAAGTGCAAGTAACTTTTTGCAACTTTCTGAAAGGATTGATAATGCTGAAACTAAAAATGAAGATGCATCTCAAGGTCTTATTTACAGCTATTTTGATTTTAGGAAATCTGTATATAAACGATACAAGGAGTTAAAACCCAGCCCATATTAGATCTATTTTAACGCAGAAGGTTTGATGAGCTCTGACAAGTTTGTCCAGTCTCGGCCATCATTTTTAGGAAAATATGGTAACTTTTTTCTTTTGAAGCATTTGGCTAAAACATTTTAATAAAGTTCGCCTAACAATTCAGACTTATATTTTTATTATCTTCGTGAAGGTGTATTAGTGTATGTAATGTATTTGGAATATGTAATAAATTTTCCTGATAATCGCAAAGTACTGGGCCATAAATTATCACTTTACAATTCATTCATTCTTCTGCACAATTTTGATGAGCCTGGACAAGTTTGTCCAGACTCTACCATCAAAAAAATAGAGCAATAGCAGGTATTTCTTGCACGTGAATTTCAAAGCATGTATATCTGCTCATATCGGGCTCTATAATTTGTACTTTTTGCCAAATATCACTGAAAATAATTGATAATCTTGAAGGTACTGTGTCGTTTCATCTGCACAATTTTGATGAGCCTGGACAAGCTTGTCCAGACTCTACCATCAGAAAAATAGTGCAAATAGCGGGTATTTCTTGCACGTGAATTTTTATTCGTAATAATTTTCCCAAAATCTGTTAGATCAAAGGCTATCCGGCTAAAGGAAAAATCTGAAATTTGATTAGCCAATCATCTCGTAATTTAAGAAACAATTTGGCGTCATGATAGTACCAGGAAGTGTCATAGAACTGGCAGGGAGCTGGAATGACACAATAATGTCATAATACCTGTTAATCACGAGAGATCCACATACTGTATGTATGTAAATATAGCAGCTTGAAATCGAATAAAAAATGAAGCTGATATTTTTATTATAATATATTGATAAAGAATCGCTAGAATTCACTGAAATTTCTATAAATCATTTAAATCACTATAAAGTATTAAAAATACTATTATAATTCGATATTTTATTGATTAAACACTTGTAAAAGATGGATTTAGATAGTAATGCCTACTTTAAGCTTTCTTTACCTAATCGGGATGAAAATTATAAAAGAATAATAAAAGCATTAACCCTTTTAAAACATAATATGATGACGAAACACCAGGAATGTGGTGCTCTCGTGTTCGTGGTCTATTAGAAGAATACTTGAAGAGAATCCAAGAATCTTTTCTAAGAATGGATATATTGAAAATGTGTGCAAAATTTTAAATTTATGAAGAAGGGTAAGGGGTTTCATCCTTCTGAAATAGAAACAAATTATATATATTGCACTGTATATGACTCCCTAGTATTCGTTCCTGAAAAGCATATAGCTCGCTTTCACTATGCAGATAATCACTTGAAAAGATGCATTACTAAAAATACTATTCAAATGAACACGTAAAAAGAGAAGAAATTCTTCAATCTAAGGTTGTGGGCGAAACCTAGCAGTTTAGACAATTGTTGAAATCGAAACTGTTTAAACTGTTTTGTCAAAAAGTTAAAAAATGCAAAATTGCGAAAGGTTTAGCAAATGTCAAAACTCAAAACTTTATAAAGTTTAGACATATTTATTTATATTATATGATTTAATATAGTAGTTTAGTAAATAGAATTTAAATTAAAAAAAAACATAAAAAATTAAAATATAAATAAAAATACTTTATAATTATTTACTTGTTTAAACAGTAAAAAAAAATAAAAATGAGTTAGCTTTGGCACCTAATTATTTCAACAGCGCTGTTTTCTCGAAGGATTTCTTCGGAAATTTGCCAATAGAGGCGGGAGCAATTCTTTTTTTTTTTAATAATTTCATCAATAATGTATTCAATGTTTTCCTTTAAATGATCTGCCAAGTAAAAGAAAATTGATCAAAAATAAATATTTTCTAATATGTGTAAATCAACTTTGAAATTACTAAAGCTCGTTATACAAAATAAAGTTGCCATTTGCCAATAGTACCCATGAAGTAACATTCATTTTTACACAATAAATAATAATTGATTTTGATCTATCAAACATCGAATACTTTTAATTCAACGCATGGTTTTTTTTTAAAAAAAATTATTATAAAATATCAATGTTTGGATTTCGTAAATAAAAAAAAAATTATTTCGTTCCTATATTATTATAAAAATCATTTCGATTTTAATAATATTATGTATTTAACGCTCCCATAACTCAAAATCTTTAATTACCTCCCATAAGAAAAATTGATTATATATTGATTATTTATCAACAAAGTCTCTTCAAGGATTTCTTCTAGCCCACTATGTAATTCTATATGTGAAGACGAAGATATTTGACTCTACGAAGCCCTATTTCCACGACATATAGGCAGTGATGTTCATTGGAAGTTTCCAATCCTTTAATAATTCTCATGTTGAAGTAATATTGGAATTGGAAGATTTGGAAGTCCAAATATGGCTTCCAACATCACTGCCCATAGGTGAATGGATGAGGCTCTAAGTAATGAATAAAATCTTCAAATATTAATATTTCTACGGATAAATTGTCATTACGTAATATTATTATCTAAAATCAAAAGTAATACATCCAAAAAATATTATTAAAAAAAAAAGAAATTGAATCGATAAATTGTTATAATGTAACTAACTGTAAAGGACTATCAGTAGTAAGTTGTATATAGTTCATAAAATCTAATCACATGGTGAGTAACTAACTTTTCATCAGGGTCGCCTTCTATTGTTCCTATAAGGGCTCTTTTATTTTGCTAAAAATACTAAGACAAAGAAGCGGACACCAGCTGGATAACGGGTGATGGACGTTCTCTTCAATTTTGAATGTCCTCTCATATTCTTCTTTCACTTCCGAGTTCCGAGGGAGCGCCACTGTAAATACTGTTAGAAGTAAAATGAAATAAAATTCTTATTTGTAGATTCCACATTTGATGTCTGAATCTCTTAAGTACGTGAACGGACAAAGCTCCTCTCCGTATAAGTTGCAGAATTTCTGAATATAAAGCATGATTGTAATAATGTTGATAATAAAGGTAGTAAAGTTATAGCTCTTTAATATCTTTTTAAAGGCGTTTCAATGAGCTAATTGTTGAGCACTTATTTCTAAAAGTTTCTCTGTCACATTTGAAGAGGAAAACACTATACTAAAGGAGAGTGGAAAAACATAAAAATTATTGAGTTACTGCAAATTTTTTTTAGGAGGGATTGCATAATTACCATCTGTCGTATTTTGCACGTGATCTAACATGTAGATCTTCACACAACATGCCTTATCACAATTTAGTACAATTGAATCATTGCACTTAGTAGTTGTTATTTTTTATAACTAAAACTTGTTATAGAATTATAGAATAATATTGCAATGGCGCGAACTGCGCCTTCGCGTAAATTTTAACCGGGACCCAAATCAGTAAATAATTTCTAGATTTGATTCATCAACGGATATTACACATATTTGTTTCCATCATTGAAATTAAACTAAGCGAATATGTATTTTTTACAGTAATTTATTATTAAGGACCTCAATACGCAAATTAAATTTATTAAGTTCACAATTAAAATTCCTTTGTTTGATCATGCACGTAATTATTTTAAATAAACTCAAATTTTATTTATCACGTATTTAAAACAAATATGTAAGTAATTTGATACATTATTATCGGACTTTCGGGAATCAAATCAACAATTAAAATTTCTTTTCTATCCATGCAAACACATATATGGTTAAAAATATTTTTTTTTAGATCCGTCGATTTTAAGCCAATAGAATATAGGTCGTTTCGGAACTCGGATTATAGGAAAAATTCCTATTGTTCGACTATCATACATACAATTTTTTTTTAAAAAAAATTTCTGTACTGAAAACAGATTAAAATTTATATGTTTAGTTTATTATGTTTGGTGCGTGTCCAATATAATGATTAGAATAGGGTATATTCAATTTCAATTAATTTACTGAAAATTTTTTTTTAATAAATCGTTATACGTGAATAAAATCAATAAAAATCGCAACTTTTTCATAAAAATAAGGATTTATTTATTATAATCGGATAATTTCATCCTCCTTTATTCTATAAACCATAATTTCAAATTTCAAAAATCAAAATCAAAATTAATTCATAGTATCTTCGTAAAATAAAGTGATCGGTCGTATTTCTTACCCGAAACTATTATTGTTTATTGTCCTCCTTAATGCTTCAATTCGGACAGAAATCGTCCTTCACATGTACGCTGCGGAATGCAACCAATTACGTTACAACGTTTAATAACTCTTTTCTCCGACTTCCCCGATTGTGAACTATACATTTTAAGTTATAGAAAATAATATGTGAAACAAAAAATCTTTCAATTCTTGAATTTTTATAGAACTAAATTTGGAGAATAAATCATGATGATATTTGTTTCATATAATAAAAAAATAACGAGGTATTATACATTATTTATTTATATTATATATTTAAAAAAGAAGTTGAAATTTTTTTTCGATTACTTTAAAAGATTATACAACAAAGAAAAAATCATTCATTGATTACTCGAAAAGTTGGGTTAAAGAAAGTTATATTATAATCCCAAAAAAAGAATGTACGAAAGTAATTCATATTTGTACTACTATTTGCTTGAATAAAAAAGTCGTGCACTTTTTTAACTTTAGTATTCTTTTTTTTATTCGAAGGTTTTGTCAAATCGGATAAATTATTTGCCGTGCGTTGTGTTAGTTGAGGCAAACTAATGGCTTTGATCCACATGTTGTGTTCCAGAAGCTCCCATAGCAGATAAAGTTTGATTCTTCCCCTACATAATAATAATTTTATAAACCTTTATTAGTTAAATAATGTGATTATTGTTAAGAATTTAACCGAATTTTTCAAACTTATTATTCGGGTATTCTTAATTCGGATACAATTAATTGACTCATTAAGCTATGAATATATTACGTCATCTATATGTAAAATAATGAATGGTGGGTATAAGAAAGAATATTATAATAAACTTTTGTAAAATAATGATATTATAATAGATACGGCTGAAAAAACATTTTTAAGGAGATCACTTTATATAATTGTTTCAAAATGGAAAAAATGGAAAAGATATACATGATTTATTCTTATACGAAAGGGTAACCATTTTGGATCAAAAAAAGTAACAAATTAAACGTTGCACTTGTTACAGACAAATAATATTTATAAGGTTATCATTTCGCCTTTCCTTTCGTTCATTTTCATAAAAAAAAAATGACTGACAAAAATCCCTTATCAGACTTATTACAAAACTTAATCGACATTTTAAAAAACGAAGAATTTTATAATAACATTACCGTCGAAGTTGGTGATGGTTCAAATATAAAAACGGTTCGCGTTCACAATAGTAGTCCAAATATTGAATTAATCCTTAATAAAGAAATTAGGTCAAATCAACTTCAAAAAGACCAATTTGAAGAAAGATTCACTATTATGTTAATGACTTCAGGTATTTTTTGACTTAATTCGTACTTTATCGATCTTATTTAGTACTACACAATTACTAACTCCAGTAATATCATCTATAGCAGATCCTCAAAGTCCAGATCATCCATCCAGTGAACGTATAGACCTAGGTGCACTTCAAATGCAAGCTCTAAATATACCTAGAAAAATTGAATTTTTCATCCCTTTTCACTTAGCACAATGTAAAATTAAAGCGTTATTAAATAAGTTGACGTTAAAAAAATTTGATTCTATCTCAGATCAAATTATTTTCTACGCTAACAACAGAAGAGATGGATGTATGTTAAGGGAAATAGTTCGTCTTATATTTGAATCTCATGATGAATCGAATTTCTGTGCAATATATGCTCAGCTTTGCTTTAGGTTGATGGAAAGAGTCGATCATAAAATAATTGCCATCAAAAAATTCAGGAATAAGTTTCTTCAAGGCGGTACATTATTTAAAAAGTATCTTCTTGATCGGTGTGAAAAAGATTTTAAGAAAGGTTGGAAAGTTAACATGATGTCATATGAAAATTATGAAGCTATAAAGATTAGGAAGCAAGGTCTTGGTTTAATTCGTTTCATTGGCGAATTATTTAAATTAAAAATTATTGCAAAGAAAACTATGCATGAATGTATTGAGAAATTATTAAAATTGCCTGAGGAAGAAGAAATGGAAAGTTTATGTATATTAATGAATATAGTAGGAAAACAACTTGATTATATCGAATCGAACAATAATGAACAGAGAATGGAACCGTACTTTGAACGAATGAAGGAGTTATCAACATCTCCGAATTTGTCAAACCAAATAAAATTTTTGTTGATGGTAAATTTTATTGAATAATTTTTGTATTTATATTTATTATGTTATATTGTTAATATTTTTTTTTTTTTTTAGGATGTCATAGATTTACGAGATAATGCTTGGAAACCTCGAGAGTCAAGAAGCGAAATATTTAAGTTGAATAGTAATGTTTAGCTATCAAGTTATTTTATTGAAATACATATAGATTTAAGAGTCACTGTGTTTCAATAGTAGTTTCTTATTTTTTTTTATAGTTATATTATAAATAAAGGAATATTTTCATAAATTTTTGTTATTCTGTTATATAATTATTAAATAAATAAATATAGTATCTTCTAGTTTTTACTAAAAATTTTCGTGATATTGTCTTAAGTATCTTTATCGAAGCATAACTTTATCATATCTAAAGTAATGAAAATTCATTAAATTAACCAACAATTCGCTTAATGTTGATATAGTATTATTTATTCTATTCCTCAATTTAATAATGGAGTTTTGATTTACGACGCAAGTCATTGCATGCGCATTTTACTATTAAACAATCCAGGGTATGATTTACCGTGCGTTTACCACTATTTCACATGTATTATAAAATCTATAATTCAATCGATTGGCAAATTCCCATAATCTTTTTTCGTTTAGTTTATAAAAATCACATGACCGAAACGCAGTATTTACTTATTACACGTATGTTGTAGATGATTAATATAATTTACATAAAAAACATCTCCTTTTACCGCTGCATAAAAAATAACAATTCTGAAGGTATGATAAAATTAAGATATAAAAAATTTGCATAATTAACTCAATAATTATAATAATTATCAATATAACATAATTAATTACGATAATTGTCAATATCGTTAATTAACATGATAATTAATTACGATAATTATCTAAAAAATAAATTCGATTAATGATTTTGCTTTAAAAACGTAATATCTTGTGTTATAGAACTATAAATCGCTTATTTTATTAATAAATTTCCAAAAAAAGAAATTCGATTAATTAAACACAAGTTATTTCTAGATATTTATATATTTGCTTTTTAAAACGTAATATCTCGTGTTATAGAACTATAAATCGCTTATTTTTATTTAATAAATTTCCAAAAAAAGAAATTCACAATCCATAAAACTTGTTATGAAACGTGACGATAAAATAATGATAAATTTCGCGAGACTACTTTGTACTACGTGAAAGAATTGCTAATCTAAAAACTATATATAATATCTAAGGTCCTTCATATGCCCAACCTAAACCCAAAGAGTAAGTTCCAGGCCAACTATCCGGAGAAGTAAGTCGTAAAATCTAAGAGCAAAGTGACCTAAGACCCCGAACTGTTCGACTATACAGAAAATCCGAGATTTTGTCCAACCAAAATCCACCCTAAGTGATAGAGTCTTGAAGCCAATTCCTAACATTTGACGTCAAAGGATTATTCTGTTGAAAATGCAAGAAGAAGGTACTTGCGCAGGAGGAAACAACAGGAGAGAAGGACCGGGAAGATGAACGAGAACGACGAGACTTCTTAATCTTCTTGGTAATGTTCTGAGAGAGTTCTCATTGAATGAAATTGGCACAACGCGGTGACCAAAGGTATTTGTAAACGTGATCTTTGAAAACGGAAAAGCGCCGAAAATAGGATACCGGTGGTTCGTTTTTGAGTAAAGACTTGGAGAGAATTGCAACCAGATCTGCCGGAATAAGCCGCGGATAAGATCATGCGCAGTAGGAGAACGAGGATGCGGGGAGGAATTCAAAGAAGAATAGTGCCAAATAGATAACGTGTCAAAGGACGCGAGTAGAGACAGATCAGAAGATTTTGTCTTCTTGTATGCGGTAATAAGTTTCTTCCTTAAGTTATGGCGGAAACATTCCAACAGGATGTAAAAGTGTGATTGAGAACGCTTTTCTGAAAGCATGAACAGCTTTACAAGTCCAAAGGTGCGTTGAAAAGTAATTTCAAACGGAAAATCCTAAGATTGTGGTCTTTGAAGTTAGTACGTGGGCCAAAATACAGGGAGTAATGAAGAAATTTCCATGTGAACTTAGAAGACGCGTTGTGCGCAAAGCGCGAAAATCTGGAGAGAGAGAAAATATAATTGATCGTAGCGCGAGGAGACAAATTTACGAAGATCGGAATCGATAAAAGTGCCGTTAAAGGTGGGTTGTGCGTTAAATCGGGATCCAGATTGGTTAAAGGTGGTGGTAAAAGGACTCGGACAAGGGATGGTCCTTAGCTAAAGTGTCAGCACGGTCGTTGAGAACGTCATCCGAATGGGCGGGAATTTTGGTGAACCTCAATTGAAGTGATTTGGAGATGCATAACTTTTGAAATACGTCCATAGGAGATAGTTCTTTAATCGGAACGTGCGTGAACAGTAGGGAGTAGAGAGGACTTTCGATGCAGAGGAAATAACAGCGGCTGCATCAGTACGTATTTCGGCGGTAGCATTAGGCGGTAAAAGTTCCAAATCTGATAACAGAGTACATAGTTCGGCTCGGAGTGAAGAGAGCCACAAAAGTGGGATAGAGGAGGAGCGATGAGATAAAATGAAACCATGTTCGTCACATTGGACCCAACCAAGGCCTATGTGACATCATCAGAATGAGGAATCCGTGAATGATCGATCCACTGGGACAGAAGGATTATGATCAATATCAGAGTCCAAAGGAATAAAATTCGCATTAAATCTATTACAAAAAGCAATGAGGGAAGAAAAAATATAATAATAAGATAATTTAATAAACAAATTAGAAGAACGCAGATGCAATTTAGCTGATAAAGTATTCAGACGAATCATCCAGAAGTTCGAAGCGCGTATCCAACATGTAGCACTATGGGCTGCTTTGATAAGGTATTTAGCTCGTTTGATCGAAGTATTGTTGAATTCGCATCCAGTACACGGCTGTAGTGACAAGGAGCTAGAGTGAGGTGCGAATGTGTTGCTCAGGGAGTCGTTCGGTATCATAATACAATGAGAGAGGATGACTTCGGAGGAAGGAGCAGTTCGTAAAGTACGACCGATGATGAGGTCCGAAGAATTCAAATTGATTCATCAGGAGAAGGATCGAATTTTCCGGTTGACACGACAAGAGATGGTAGCAATCCATGTATTATGATTCGAGGTAGTAGTATCAACTAAGGAAGGCGAGGAGAAAGGGAGATGTTTTATCATCTATCCAGAATTCGGGACGCAGTTTATAAGAGTTTGGCGAAACGGTGACAAGGCTAAGGAGAACAGTATAATACGAAGGGGCAGACACCTTTACGCTGGACAGTTAGTAAAGATTTCAAATCGTTCCAGGAGAGAAGATAAGATATAAACCATTTTCAGAGACGATTTGGGAGAGAAAGTAAACCTGATGTAAAGCTAAAGAATTAAAATGCTTGGAGGGGTTCGGCAAAAGACGAATTAACGGGAATTGACCATTCAAGGATACGAGATTCAGAATCGGGGAGGGTGAGAGGGGAATCATTCAAAAAATCTCTGAAGTCGTATAAAAGGATTGATCAAAAGAGATTGAAAGAGTTCTTTGATTCCATAACCATGGATGGAGAGGAAACGAACGAGGCATATTGGTATGATGCCTGAAATAGCGTCGTAATCCTAATTGAAGGTTGTGACTATGTTCTGGAGAGATATATGTTGTCTGTGCTCGAAATTCGACAAGAGAAGATGTACTACGTGAAAGAATATGTGACTTATGATTGTAAATATCTGAAAATTTTCAAGATTTGGTTTTTTTTCTGTGGATTATAGTCAAATCATTTCTTAAGAGATATTTTTTTCGCTCCTTTTGCACCACTTAGACGTAAGAAAACGATCTTTAGTTTGAATGTTCCAAACTGATTTGAGTTTGATCTTTCCTACAAATTTCTTTCAAAAACATTACACTGTAAGCTTACTATGTTCAAAATGATTCTGTTCTTTAACATAAAAGTAGGTTCTATCTAACTCTATCAAAATTTGTTTCTTTGTTTATTTTTATTTTCAGGTGAAAAGGAAGTTCAATACGGCATATTAAGCTCAATTTTGTAATGTCCGGTGAAGAAAAGAAAATGTATTCACGATAACAGTGCCTGAAGAATATAACATGAACGAACTATAACACGAATTTAGAGAAAGTGTTTCACCACGTCTGGATCGCATCGTGTTTATTCAAGTAAATCCTTACAAGTTCCAATTCGGCTTAAGAGTTCCGAACAAAATTTACAATTACTGGGCTCTTTACAACGAATTGCCTTTATGGAGCAAGAAATACATTGCAATTTTTGGTATAACTATACTACAGAATTTACAGTATATGGAATATAGTGCGAGATGTAATTACGTTAACAGATTTAAAAATTTTATTTCAGTTTACCGACCTTAATAATGTTAAACACCGACAACTGGAAATAAAAAAATTTTGAACGAAGGGAAGATAATAACATTGTAGAAAGTGATGGAGATCTAGCATACATAGTATGGAGAGATAAATATAATTTATATTATTAACAATAGGTAATTTAACTATTTTCTGTAAATTCATGAGAAATAATAAATACGTATAAATTTAATTTTTTTTTTTATTTAGGAGAAAAAAAAAATTGCGAATTTACAATTGAACGAAATAACATGTCCATGCACTGAAGAAAAACAACATAACATTTATCAGAAACTTAAACTACATAGTTCTATTTGAAAGCTATCAAAATATATTTCAACTGTTCGCTAAAGATGGATGACATCGGACTCCAAGAACTAGAAGCAGTAATCTATATAGTGTTTATACTGGTACTGTAAGGATCATTGGTGTACTGACAAATTTTCCTTAAGGTTGACGATTGTATATGTAATATATTTCAACTATAATAATTTTAATTCAATGTTATAATTTCTTATCATCAAATTAATTTGATTCATTTAATTCGTGTTGCATCATCAATTGAGCGATTGCGGAACTATCATTAAACTCAACATCATATTTTGGAATATCTTTATATGAGGATTAAGTAAATAGCTTGTGGGTGAGTAGTTGGTGGGTTATTTCCAACAGATGAAAGCTTCATTGAATTCTTTTACTGTTCCATGATTATTATCTTCCCCCATTGCATTGAACAAAAAAAATTGCAGTTTTATATTCGTTATCCTTTTCCAATTGCATTTTAATTTCATGATCTCCCGTAATTACTGCATTCTGCTAATAGGTATTGAAAAGGAGTAAGTCGTAGTGTTACGTGAGCTTCTTTAAGATGTAAATATTTATAATGTGGGAGTTGTATAATAGATCGAGGGTTTGAATTCCAATTGATTTTTCAATTTTAATAATTCGATTTAGACGGATTTTTATTATTAACCGATGATGTTGATGGTGGATTGAGCGATAGATGCTTGCATTGATAAATTTGAAAATAATTTTTTCGATAAAAAATAATATTTTTTTTTGTGGATTATTTTTTTTAAAAAAAAAAGAAGTAAAAAAAAAAATTATTAGAATTATTGATATGCGATTAAAAAAAATACAGACTAAATTAAAAAAAATTGATTATTAAAAAATTCAAATTGTAAATTTTACAGTAATTTTGTGGATTTTACGAATTCAAAAAATTCTGTCTATTTTTATTATTATGATTATTTATTATATTTGTTCTATATAAATTGGTATATGATACACATAATAATGAAATTATTGGATATTTATAGAAAGATGGTGCCACTTTTATACCATGAATTTTATTATTATTATCAAGCATAATTGAATAAGAATCGATATATTTTATATATCTGACATAAAAATCGATTATTTCGTCCTAAATTTTACAAAACAATTTGAATGATATGTATATTATTTGCATAACATAAATTTATTCTTTGAAATACATAGGATTTTCAGTGTCAATTTATTTGATGAGGAGATAAGGAAGATTTATTCCTTTATAATTTTAGTGTACAAGGAACATGTGAATATGCTAAAAGAAATGTATCACACGGAGTACCAGCAGACAAAAATAAAAATCGTATAATTTGAGCTCGATTTATTTTTTCATAGACTTAAAAATTTTTTGGTAAAATGAACCTTTAAGACGTGCAGATTACATTCCACAAATTCACAATTGTTTAATTAATAACGAATTAAACCACCGACATTATTTTAACCCCTAAATTATTCATTTCCTCTTCTCATCAACATAACCCCAAAATTGATGAATATACCAAAATTGACATTAATAACCTGCCAGATATGAAGATATGAAACAAAAAAAAAAAATATTAATTATTATTTATTACAAATGTGTCACGTCAACGATTCCCGTCTAATATGTTCTGAACTTTAAACGAAGTATTCTCAGATTAGTATTTGTTGATATGCTGGAAATTTATTCACCCGTGTGAAACCTGAAGTGGTTTGTACCAACTATGCAATTTGCATCATTTGTATTGTTTTTACAGCATATATTTTGTGGATAATTATTTATTATTAATTTTAAATTAATTTATTCATTGGGATATTTTTTGTATCAGTTTTATTAATCAAGAAATTCATTCAAAACTTGTTTTGGTGAAGTATCATTTTTTAAATTGTTAGTATTATATATCAGATAATACGAACATATTATTTATTACACATCATCCCTTTTTTGTTTCTTTTGTTATAAAGTTCTAATTTGAAAATTAAAGGGCTAGAATTTTAATTCGAATAAATGATTCCATTTGATACATGACTGAAAATGGTCTAATTGTTTTAAATAAAGTTCTTGACCGACTGATTTATCGATCGTTAAAAAATTGGATTTGTGTTATATTTGAAAAAACCTTATTCTTGAATTACTGTAACTTGTTAAAAAAGTGGCTTTTCTGCTTCTGGTAAAAAGTGACCATATGACTCATGTAAACATCCGAGATTCCCCCATTTTCAATACAATTTTTAAAAGATTCGAAATTTCGAATACGTGTACTTTGAAAATAAAATGTTTAGCTCCTGGGTCCTAGTTTTTATTTGTAGGTCAAACAATCAAAACAATCAGATTATAAAATGGTTATTACGGATAGAGGAATTTACGCGATTGGTGAATAAATTATTGAATATTATTGATATTTATTAAAATGTACATTTTTGGTATTTCTTTTAATCCTTTACTCCAAAAGAGTATTGATCAATAAAAGCTTAACCTAAATTTAATTGGGTATTTTGGGGATGAAAAAAATGAAATTTTTTTTAATTTTTAAACTAGTTTAAAATTAATATTATGTAAATCGATGATATTTTATTTTTTTTGGCTTCTAGCCATTAACGTCTATGTCCCAGGCCTGATGGGAAAAAAAAATCTTTACCCCAATTTCAAACCTTTCAAATTCTATACATGTTTTCTTATCAAAATTACTTATCTTGGAAACAATTACAATAACTAGGGTTACTGTACATACTGTACAACATTCGTTATCATCAGTGTTTATCATTATCACATTTTACGCGCTACAACCACAAGTCCACAAAGTCCACAAAAAAAATTTCACGTGATCTACATGTCATTTGACTAGTTTTATACACAAAAAATTTTTTCTTTTTTTATTTATACAATAATACAATAAAAAGGATAAAGAAAGTGCGGATCGGGTAGGTCCATCATTTATTTATTAATTATTTTGATTTCATATATTCTTTATGAATTTTACACAATATTTCATGTACAATTTATTCTTTAATTTAATTAATCAAATTAAATCCCTACTTCTTCCTTAATCGATAATTTCGATTTTCAGAAATGTGCGTAAAAACGAAATTGTGATAAATAAATAATTTGATCATCGTTTACTGATCGCAATTGAAAAAATTAATCCTCCAATTTCGAAAATAAGACATTCGATTATTTGTTCTTGTATAGAATAAGATCATATTTAAAAAAACATCGTTAGAATTTACAATATAATCTTTTTATCTCACGGTTCGTGTAATATTTTTCCTTTGATGTCTCACGAATCTTACATAAATTCAAAGTATTCATAAAATACATTGTATGTCGTATCGTTTCGTGAATATGTTGTGATCGCCCTCAACAACATCTTTACATGTCCGTAATGTCCGTGAATACACCCTCAAACAATATGATGTCTTTATATTTTGAATATAATTATTTTATATATTATTATTATTATTAAATGTAATATATAAGACATCCGTAATTAATTGCTACCCTATCCCTAAAATTTATATGATATATTTTACTTCTACTATAAAAAAAAAGGATCTCACATTTTTAAAGCTAAATATCTTCGATAATAAAAATAAGCATTATTATCCTCTTCATTATCTCTGACTTCTTTTTCAATTTCTCCAACTAAATTATCATATTCTTCATTCGTTAAGTTCATAATTGAAATTAAATTATCAGCCATCGATTTTACAGTATTCATTATATATTCGGCAGAAAGTTCCCCGATAAACCCATTAGATTTACCAATCGGAATTTTTAATTTTTGTTCCATAACATCTTTTAATTGATTTGTACTTTTAAGACATTCTTCAAATCGATATGGAATTTCATAATCAATACTTTGAGTTTCAAGCCAAGGCTTCACTATTAAACATAAAATTTAATAATTAAATTGAATGTTAAAGAAAGAGTCGTCATGTTAAATATTTTACTTACATCCATCAACATTCCAACGCAGCAATGCTTTGCCTCTATTATGGCCTTCGGTAATTTCTTCCTCAACAAACTAAAAAAGAATTTTTTTTTTTTTTCATTAAATATTTGGATTTATTTGATAAAAAATCGGATTAAAAAATATATATATATTTATTTATTAAATTACCTCAATGTATCCTCCAGGTTTGAGAACTCGCAATAATTCTTTAATTACAATCGATTCGAAATTGGGTTTACGGAAGGTAAACATTATATTTCTAGCAAACACATAATCAAATTCCGCATCTTTGAATGGAAGAGTATCGGTAAGAACATTTGATACTATAAACTCAACATTTTTGGGTGAAACTGATCCGGGGAAGGATGCTGTTGGATTAATTCCATAAAATTTTGATGATGGAAATTCCGTTGCCATTTCTAACGTCCAATAACCTGAACCGCATCTAAAAGAATATGGTAAATAATATTTAAATAAATTTTATTTTATATTGATTCTATACTTTTTTTAAAAAAAAGTATTTACCCAAAATCAAGAACTTTAGCACCAGATTTTGAACGTAATAAGTCATCAACTGGGGCACCGAAATTACCATTCCAAGCTTGTCTTAACATGAGATGTGCGCAATATAATTGGTCACTTCTATACCCTTCTTTTCTGATATCTATTATACCTACTACGGGTACTTCTTCTTCTTCATATTCATCTTCATCTTCAATGTGAGATGATTCATCCATGCTTATAAATTTTTTAAAATATTTTTTAGTTTACAGAGAGTTCGACAGTAATTCCTTTTTTTACGAGATGATAACTTGTATTGATAACTGTATTTAGTCTGGTTACATTAAAAAAAAAATATAAGGGGTTTATATATGATTTTTCATGTGACCGAAATCTTATCGTAGATGTTTGATCAAACCTTAAACATTATCATGTCCCTACTTTAAAAGTTATTTTTTTTTATTTTTAGAAATCTCAATCCATTTATTGAATTTGGTTTCATTCACTTAGTTTATTTTTAGAAAACTTGCACCATCGATTGAATTTTATCACAGAAAAAGTTTAAGTTTACTACTAGTTTTACACTTTTTACTCACATTTTTTATTTTTAGAAACCTAATTAAACTTGTCTTAAAGAATTTATTTTTAGAAAACCCGTTCTAGTGAATTTGGTCTCAAAAGAAAAAGGTGAATTTTATGTATCATATGAAAAATGGTGTATTAAGTTATCCATGAACACTGGTAAATCGAATATAAATAAAGATGTCTGCTGTTTTTAATAAATCAAAAATTGGATTACAATAATGTAGTTAATTTTATCATATTGGAAAGAATGATATGATATTCATATCAAAAACCAAAAATATTGTATATTATTTACTATTCTAAAAATTGGTGGTGTGATTGGTGCCTGAAAAAGGCTTACAAATAATAAACCCTACACTTTTGGATAGTTCATTCTATTATAAGTGTTAGAATTTGATCATATAAAAACCTAATCAAATAAAAAAGTATCAATGAATATCAATATTAAATAATGAATCGCCATGGTCCAATTGAAAGATTTCGGATTTTTTAAGCATTTCTAAATATTGGAAAAGATTACTCACCTCAAATAAAAAAAAAAAAAGATCAAGACTGTACAAATAGACCACAGCTAAGCGAACAGTTTCAATAAAAAAAGGCGAAAGCGAACGCCTATTATGTGAATAACAAGTTCGAGGAGATATTGATCTTTTAGGATAAGTATATATATAAGTTGGGGTTGATAAAAATAATCATTAGGACGTTTCATGTTGTCCTTATAAGGAAAGTTACCAAGAGGTGGTGATGATGCGCGGTAGTAATAAGGAATTCACGGTAACGAGGATATTCTCCTTCTCTAAATCAGGTTCTCAATGGTAATCATAATATGGAGCACGCATTCTATCCGCTTTTCTACCATATTCATAATACGGAACACGCATATGTGGATGGGATTCTTCATAATAACTTATCGGATTATCATGCGGTCGTGTTCGTTCACGATCCCTTTCTATTATTCTTCTCTTTAACGATTATACCTTTCTTTCGATTTACTATTTAAAAATTTCTTTCTCTAACTGTATACGAGTTCTATCTTTAATTCGTATTCTGTCAAATAATTGTACCCTCTCGTAATTAAAATCTCGATTTCTATATCGCATTCGACACTATTATTAAAATAACCCTGCTGAGGAATCGATTAATGGAATGCCATGAAAGAGGAATTTCATGATGATGAGATGATGATAATGTAAAGATTTTATTGAGCAATAGCTGCTGGACGATTTGGAGCTGAAACCAAAAATAGGATTTGGTGGTGGTGTGGGCGGAGTTGTAACCGTATTGTTACTCCTCCAACGGTCGTAAATAATACGGACCTTCGTTATGAATGTTATTAAATTGATTGTAATTTTACTCCCGTTTTTTGTTTTTCAGAATATCTAGAATTCTTATCGTATGGATCTAGAACATTCCTTTCTGTTGGATCTGATTTATATACAAGTGCAAGTTCATGAGACTTCATTTTGATCTACTATATCATGTTTTTCGTCCTGTGACTGTGTTGTGACTTTAACCATAGCGTTCAAATTCACGATCATCGTTAGAAGTTTGTTAAGTTTGTTGAACCGGTTCTTTTTTTGGAGTGATAGATTGTAAGTTCTGTTATGTTATTCAGCTGAAAGTATTTCTTTTCTATCTTCGATATTTATTTCATCCATCCTTAATTTTTACATATTTATAAAGTTTCTATTCAAGATTTTAAATTATTATTTGAATTTCATAAAATAAATCAAAAATCAAATAACTGTAGATTATGATCATTGATCATCATCAGTTCATCAAATGAAAAAAAAAATTCTTTATTACTTTATGAATTATATAAAAATTGTATAATCACCTGTATTTCAATCATTGGACTTTACCATAGACAAGAAACAGAGTCTTCTACGAACAATAACAGAAAGTTTATGAAACATATATGTCACATTGACCTTTTATTACATACCTTTCACTTTTTAATTTAACAGAGAGGTTATACAAAATTTAAATTTACTATTTATGACGTTTATTAAAATCGTTCGAGAATATTAAATATTTGGTGGGGAAGGTTTTCCTTATTAAATAAAGCTGGAGAGGTGATAACTAAAACAATTTATGTTCGTCAAGATGAATATGACAATGATGATGATGTCCTATATTCAAATCGAATATTTACAAGATGGTCAAAGGTATTTATTTTTATTAATTTGATCAATTTATTAATTAGAAAATGAATTCTAACGTGTTTTATTAAAAATGGCTTCAGACTCATACACTATGATTTGACATTTCTATTTACACTGTCAAGCAATCAGTAATCTAGAGGTCTGATCTTTGTAATCAAGACAACAGTAAATCTATAAAGAAAGAGATGTAAAGAAATCTATGATAGGTACGTATTTAATTGTTGATATTATCAAAATATTATCATGTTAATTCGCTTTTAAATACCCTACAATTTCTAATTTATATAGAAGTTCTTTTTATGAATATGAATGCAGAAAATGAATTCTCGAATTGATCACGAGAAGATCCTCGTGGAGAAGGTTTTTCTTTTAACTATAAAGCTGAAGTTTTCTTTAATATCGAAGAGTTTGTGGAGGACACTTTGTTCGTGTGTTTTCTAAACTCACTGAATAATTGGGTATGTCTAAATATCAACATTATAGTTGAGAAATTACAAAAACCATTTAAATTTGGGTTTTGACCAACCGATAAAATAATAGAGGGGATAATCATTAGATAAATTTGTTAGCGATGGAGAATATGATGATGAAATTGGTCCTATATTCTGTGAGGTCTAGTCTCCTTACAAATAATTGACAGAGAAACGATGGAGCGAGTGTTGTGATAGAGGCTATTCAAGTAACCCAGGAATTACCCATGAACACTTGATTTGAAATCTACAGTTACATTCCTATAATTATTATAAAGTAACGTTGAAGTAGTTATTTTGTATAATATTATTTATGTGCAACATGGAAAGGCTAGTTCACGAGAAATTATACATATAGATATTTTTTTTAGGAGAATACGAATTGATATATTTACAGAAATGGGAATCATATTCTTGTGAAGATATTTCTTTGTTGGAGAGACATAGTTGTTATCTTATTGTTAATAATGGCTCGTGGTCATCTGTATAATAAATAATGATTATATTATCTTTCAAAATTGAAGTATCCAATACAAAATTTGAAATTTAGTAGTAGTTGATCATAGTGCATTAAAACTATATAATGGGTAATTGAATAGGTTCTACGAAGTCATGTGACCAAGAATATAAACAACGTCCTAGGTATATGAACAGAAGGCAGCAATTGAAAGTATTCGGATATAAATCTAATCATTACAAAGGAAACAAGTCTGGGATCTTTGCTGAAGTGGCAGGGAAAGGCCAGCGTAATTTGCGCAAGGGGTTTAATAGAGGTCATAGTTTTCAATAATTTCAGTCACGTGATCAAGAAACGAACGAAAAAAAAAAACATCAAACCGAGAACAAACTTAGAAAATGGAACGTACCACTCTTTAAGAAATAAAATAAATGAATAAATAAATAAAACTTAGAAATGGAACCAAACCTGAAGGATCAACGCATGATTTAATCTGTCTAATTAATTGAAGTTATTTAACAAGAAACAACTAAATTAATGAATACAATTAATATTTTTGTAAAAGAAAAATCAGAAAAATAAATTATTAGATTTTGCACACATAAAAGCGAAAAAATAATATGTACAATTCCAACATGATCATGGACAAATTAAAGATGACAACAGGAGAGTATGAATAGAAATTGTGCTGATCATCGGATATTGAAGATAGCATAAAAGAAGATTTTGGAAGGGTAAATTTTTTATTATTTTATTGTTAAATCAAAAGGTTATTATATAATCTTTTTTTTTTTTATATTATTAGATTTATTATTTAATGATGGAAATATTAAATGATTAAATGATGATATGAAAAAATTACCCAAGAGGACTTTATAGTTAACGAGAATGGTTAACTTTAGTGATATTCGCGCGTGAACTGGAAGAACATATCTTCAAATCTTTTGAATTCATGGCTGGGAAACTTCGATGACGATGAAATACGGAATTTCTAGGTTCTTAATTTCAAAATTCTGTTTCGATCGCTTAAGGTAAACTTATTAACGTAATGTACAGTACATTAGTACAATTACAAATGACAGACAATTAATTAATTTTAAAATATGAATATCTTAATTTTAGGTAAATTAAAAAAAAAACTTAGGGGGAAAAATAAGTGAAAACAATTGTTATTATTATCATCGATATTGAAGGGTTTATCAAAATTCAATTCTTTTGAAATAACATTAAAAAATCGAACAGGATTTATTAATAATATTTGCGAAAATTTTTTTGTACATTTATTGTAAATTGGACATAGTTTATTGTTAACATGGATTAAAAAAAAAAATTATATTAATTGTAAGTTAAAATAGAAAATTTGTCTTTAATTCGTCATTTTACGAAATTAACCCAATTAAAGAGTTTTTCTTTTCCAATCCATTTAATCTTGATATATCCTTTATGTATTCGAAATTACCGAGTAAGCATTTTGTCTTTGTCTTGTTCTACGCGAATCTTTATATACAATGTCTTGTTCTTGATATTATTAGGTAACCGATGTTCACCTTCGTTTGGAGAGTGAATTTCTCCTTTGTCTATTCGGAGAGTGAATTTCTCCTTTTGTCCATTCGGAGAGTGAATTTCTCCTTTTGTCCATTCGGAGAGTGAATTTCTCCTTTTGTCTATTCGGAGAGTGAATTTCTCCTTTTGTCTATTAATGGGGTCTGATCTAGAAAAGTCAAGGTAGAAGGGTGGGGGGATTTTTTAGTTAAAATTTAAAAGTTATTGTATTTTAATCGTCATATCAAAAAATATAATACAATAAAATTCTCAATTTTGAAAGAAAATTCTCTAACCTTGATCTTCTTAGACCAGACCCCATTTGGAGAATGAGGTTCTGCCTTGACGGTGAATGAATTTCTTTCTCCTTTGTCAAGGCAGAACCATTAAAAAGTCCGAAGAGGGTGTAGAAATTTCTTCTACACCAAGGATGATGGAGCAACAAGTGCTCTAAAAAAATAATGATTAAAACTCGGTGAGTTGGTGGCTTTAGTGAAATTGCAAGAGTTACAGTATAAAATAAAATAAAATGCAATTATAACTTTATTACTAACCCATCAGTGGTGTGACTTCAAAATATTTCTTTAATAAATAAATCAATGGATATTCGAAATTCGAGAAGAAAATAAAGAAAATGGAAGTCGAAGTCTGGTCGTAAAATTGTTGTTTAAATACCAATTTTAAAACTAGTTGTGACGAAACGTGAATTTCTTTTTCAAGTGAAAAATTAAAAACAATAACAATTAAAACACAACTTTACGTAACACGTAATAACAAATTAAATTTTCCATTGGATAACTATAAAAAATATTAAAGGCATACACGGGATGTTTTTCCAAAAAGGTAAATTTTACAGATTTTCGCGCCCAAATTTTTATTAAATAAACACAATAAACACAATCACGCTAAATGTGCGCGCATTCCCGGGAAATTTAACATTTATAACAGGTATATGCCCTAAAAAATATATATAACATATGGTATATAAAATATACCAGGTATACCCTAAAATTATATAACACGTCGCGCAGTCAACAAAAGATCACCTGACAGCATGATCAATAAACACGTTCAAGAATGCCAGTGCAAAAAGAACGCGTTCTGTAATAAGTGAGGATATGAAGCAACAAATATGTGTGTATGCTACCAAATCTGAAAATAAAAATTAAACACAACACCACATTTCCGACTACTTTAACCAGCAGAACCAAACAATCTCCCAAGATTTTAGGAAATGACTTGCATTAGTTTCAACATCAGCCAGTAAAAAAGACCTTTCGTCATAGAGAAGTTAAGTATCCACAAGTTGAAAAGGCGTTGGGGTTAATGGGTTGAAAATGCAAATGCTAATAATATTTCAATTTCAGAATTGATGATTAAGGAGAAGGCTTTTTTATTTTGCACAGGAACTCGTCATGTTAAATGGACCAAGTGGAGAAGAGGTATTTTCAATCGGCTGATGACCATATTGCGGCGAGGTTATTTGAAGAGGATAGGAATTTAACATTCCATGTGAAAATATATTGTTTTCAAGAAACGCAATAAGATTCGTTGCTGTCGCTTACATGGTGAAGCAAATAGCGCTCCATTAGAAACTTTTCTTGAGGAATGGAGAAAGTTGCAAGATTACACACTTAACATATTCAATGCAAACGAAGCTGAACTCTTTTTTCGTATGGCATCTAATCAAACTCTTGCATCAGCTCCTACTTCAGGTACCAAACTGGTGAGTAAATTAATTAACTTTTTAACCAAGCTTCAAAACTTCATTGTGTATTTATAGTTATCTGATTAAATTGTTTTTAGGATAGGACTCGCATTACTGTTCTTTTAGCAACAAATGCTATTGGTACTCAAATCTCAAACCACTTGTAATTTGTTCTTCAAAGAACCTAGATGTCTTCATCGAGTCAATAGAAATTCTCTTCCATGTTCTTATTATGTTAATTCAAAGGCCTGGATGCGAAGTGATATTTTTAGTGAGTGGTTTGATTATCTTAATAACAAATTTTGGCTCAAAATCGAAAAATTTTATTACTTATAGGTAACGCTTCATCTCATTTTAATCCTGACGAACATGATAATCAAGCAATGAACATACTAATGATAACTTGAATTTATCACACGTTAGAGTGCATTTCTTTCTCCTAATACTACGGCTCATGGATGTAGACATTATGGCGGCAGCATGTTACCAAATGTAACTCGCGTATATGCTGGCGCATGTATCATCAAAAGTTTTAAGGCAATTTATAAACAACATTACATACGACATATTATTGAAACAAATGTGAATTTTAAGGGTAGTTATTGTAATTTTTATTTTTGTTACTATATTATATATTTATTTTAAACAATTCTCAATATAGAAATAAAATTAACGTCAATGCACAAGCTTGGAATTTAGTAAAAGCAGAACCAATTGTCAATTGTTGGCGAAAAACTGGAATTTCACCAACTGTTAATGAAAATGGCGATGATAGTATCCACTATCCAACAAGCTCTAATTGCACAGGAAATGGCAAGTCGAGAGAATCAAGAGGGCATTGATCTCCTTTAGTAGACTATCGTCAGAAACCTTCTTGACGAGCTGCGCGAAAGTCGGAGATGTTTCCTTCACAGCAACTCCCTATACAGAAATAGACGCGACTGTGGTTAGATTTTAGGATCTGGTGCTACAACAGTTTTCATCTATTGACAATGTTCCCAGGCGAAATAAATCGATATTTAGAAATGATTCCAACGGAACAGCCAACAACTGATGCTGAAATTATACAATTAATTTTGGAAGAAGGAAATGAAAAAAACTGAATTGAATGATGATGATGATAAAGAAGGATATTTAGTAATCGATGTAAGAAGGTTTTAATAATCTTAAAACATGGTTGCAATATTTTGAAGGGCAGGGATGTGAAGAGTTCGATATGAAAGGAATAAAAATTTTTGGAAATTATACAGCGAAAACTTTTTGAAACTAAAACACAAAAGTATCACGAGTTTTTTTTTTTTATGTCAAGTAATGTAAATACAAGAAAATTTGTTTTTTGTGTTAAATATATTTTAAATCCACTTCATAAATTTTTGCTGTAACTTCACGTGATACGTGTTTAAATTAGATATTCATAATATTAATTGATCTTCAGAATCTATAATAAAGACATATTAATTATCTCATTTATCTGATAATCTGATAATGAATATTAATTGTAAAAAAAAAAAAAAAAGGATTTTTTTTTTAATTTAGATGGAGAAATGTTTGTGATCGCAAAAAGTCATAGAATGATTGCATAAAACCATATAAGAGCGCAAGGATTTATGTGAGAATGAAAAAGACCTAAATAAATTTTTCGTTTTAATATTATTCTTTTAAATTCATTAATTTTATATTTAATAAACCTGTTGTTATTATCATAGAAAGTTATTACGGATTACGTCAATTAATTTAATTGACGAATGAATTAATTCTAATTCGGGTTTTAAAGAGTTATGGTGCATTTATATTTCAATTAGAGGGTAAAGTCAAAATAAAAAGTATTCGAGATACTCTTAGTCCAGTCGGTTTAATCAGGCTTTATTAGTAATCAACAGAAGCACACAGTATTAATAAATTACTCTTCTATCCTAAAAATATGATCAACAAATCAAGGATAAGTCGAGCTCGTAACTTTCTGTGTTGATAAATTCGTTAGAATATTCGCTTGGTAGAGTATATTATTTTTTCTCTTATTAATTAATTTCATTATTACCTCTTTTTCTATTAAGGAGGTACTTCAAAAGTGTACATACTAGTTAATGTATCTCCTTTAGCTGATTCGGTCAAATGGGACTAAAAAGGTTATACTTTGGATAAATTATGGCATAGAAACAAAACAAAAAATGGTCGTTTCTATGATAATATTTATAAAATCTGAATTGGATTTAAGGAATTAACATAAAAAAATTTCAAAATAATATAAGTAACAGGCTAACAGCCCATCCAAATTTTTAATGACCTGTATTAAGGAGGAAATAGAGATTTTAACTTTATCAATCTGCACACTTCAGCAGGAAATGGAGAATGAAGTCAAAGAAGCTTGTTTAAATTATGGTTCCCAATTTTTCTTCACCATTAGGAAAAATGTTATTGAACCTTTTATTCTCTAGGTCCTTGTATATAATGAATTTACTTTCAGTATTTATGAGATCTTTCGGCTATCAAATATACTCCAGGGGTTTGTTACTTTTAAAGAACATGTTAAATTAATAATAGAATATTATGATCCTATTATCATCAACGACTCAATAGTATTTATTAAATTCATACTGCATTAATAATCGGTCTGATCTCTTGGAAAAAAAGAAAAAAGCTGTGTTTTTCTTTGTTGATATTTTTACGGATATTTAATTAGAAGGATAGATTAAAAGCCTTAACGATAACTTCGATCTACGATTTAAAAATGTACTGTAAGATCACGAAGGAAAAGCAATTTATAATGAAGGTACTGAGAAGTTATTCAAAAAATCTCGTCATATGACTCATGTGATACCAACTATGGTATCGTATTTAATTTAGTGAATCGAGAATCGAGATCATGATCGATCAAAAATTTTGATTGATCACGTTTTTATTGCGTCATTCGTGAATACTCAAATCAAGCCTTTTTAATAAGATATTCCTTTGTCATTTTTTTTTATAAAAATCACAAAGAAAACATACAAACATACGAAAAAATATAACCAGAAAAGTATACTGTATATACATACTGTACATACATTATACATATATATATATAATGAGTATATAAATATCATTATAAGTAAAAATGAAGAACATAATATTAATGCCAAAAGAGCAAGTGATCAGTTTTAATCTTATGATCTTATTTCTTTCCGAAAAGTTAATGATATATATTTGTATTTAACTGGAATATGTGGAATATGAATTAATCAAGATTATAAAAAAAAATTCGGTTTGTTCATTTTGTGGAAATAGTGAATATAGTTGCGTTGGAGATCTGTCGACTTCCATCATCTGGTAGCAGTTCTTGTAGCAATAGTTGTAGTTGCTGTTGCAGTTATGGTTGACATAGCAGTAATGATTCACATTGTCATATGGTAATGGTTGTGATTGATATGAGTAAAATTCACTTAGTAGTTGGTGCATTTACCAGTTTGTGCATTTACCAGTATTAATCCCGGTTGCAATTGTGGTGATGATAGTTTTGTCGATAACAAAATTCGATTCAAACTCCAAAAGAACGACTACTTGATGTCTAAAATATGAAACGAAAAATAATTGTTAATAATGCAATAAGAAGTTTCTTTGTTCTTGTGATGCGCAAACAAAATTGGAGCTATAGAATAATTCTTTGAAGATAAATATAAATGTATTTCTATTATAATTTGTCTTATTAATACAAATATATGAAATAATGTGTAACACTTTTTATGCAAAAATTATTTGGTCCATCTTTAAGTTCTAAAAATATTCAAAAATAACCAACCAATAACAAAATATAATCAATCATAAGATACCTGATCCATTAGGTCCGCCGGATCCATTATAATATATTCTGGATCGGATATATAATATGATTATTAATTTGGACTAGTTAAATTATTCTTATTATTTGAATTTTTTGAAATTTGATGTAAGAGTTATGATTAATTTTTTTGGGAAGGAAAAGAAATTTGGTATATTTTATATAATTACCGAAGCACAGCACACAGACAAATGGAAAGATTTTAAAATCTTGTCAATTAATAAAACATGCACCATTGGTATATTAGTTTTGTATCTCATTCGAGAAAGATAACCAGATGCTTATTTTGTAAGGGCAAGGTAATATCGCTCCAACAGAAATGATTACTTAAACGATCAAATTTATTATTTTCAAGGATTAAAACTAGAAATTTACTTGTTTTGAACCTTTGCCTAGGTTTATAACTTCTTTAGAATTATATTGTATTTCTTTAAACGTTAATTTAAACGTTAAAACTTTAACACACTTAATATGATCATATGAAATCAGTAATATTTTAGCAGATATGCAGATACGCTAACGTATAATAGGCATGGATCATTTTGATGCTAAATTTAATAAAAATTTGCAGCGACACTTTCTTACGAAATTATTAATAAACTAAGTGGTATTTGTTTAATAATTTATATAGCGCTTCTATACTCCTTAGTTTATGATTGTCCGGTGCAATGTTTTTCTTTTCGCAATAGCCAATCTGACCACGTGCTTAAAATTATATGAATATGATAAAAATTTTATTGGGGTTGGATCGGTCCAGTTCAGTCCAATCTGGTCCAAAAAGAACAGTCCTAAGATCGGTCCTTCAGGAATTGATCTAGACTATTCGCATGCGAATAGTTATGATCTACTGTATCTGTTCTATTGATGTACTGTATATTCCATATAATTGAAACTCTTATGTATATTAGATGAAAGTAGAATTAATAGTTCAAGAATGAATAATCTCTCTGTTCACCTACCTATATTCACTGCTTGAAAGGAACCACCGTATGATAAATATGATAAATATGAAAAGAATTCCATGCTTTCTTTCCGAATCAATTTTATCATAAATATTAATAAAAATTGTTTTACTATCCACCGATGATCTATCTCATTTTGATGAATAAATTAAAAAAGAAATGAATTTTAAATCAAATAATTTTAACCGATTTACATACTAAATAATTACAGTATTTTTATGTGTTGATGGAAAGGGTAAGAAAAGATCAAAATCACACTATTACAACCAAATTCAATACAACGTTACGTTATATCAAAATTATATCGATATTTAAATGTTCTCGTTCATCTTACAACTTCTCAATTTAATAAAGTCTCCAAGTTGCATAATACAGATTATCAGGACAACTCTCGATCACGCGTCCGCAAAGATTTAATAGACCTGCATGTGTAGAGGGAAAGTAATTATCAAATTTTTAGTATTTCTGAATTCGGATATCGGTATATCGTAATTATCAAATAATCAATTGCAGCAATGAGAGGACACCATAAAAGATGGCAATGTCATTCTTCCCAGTTCCCATCATGTTATAAGTTTACTTGTTATTCATAAAGAAATTTAATTACGCAAGAAATGGAAATAGTTAATGTCATATCTGATATTAGTATTTTAATATATACAAAAATAATCGTACAACGTTAAGGAATTTTAGATATAAAAAAAGTGAGAATGAACTGTCTGTCGTACTTGAAAAAAAATCCGGAAATGTAGAGCTTTATTATTGACTGAAAAACTGAAAATTGTATTATTTGAACAAAGTATATTATTATTGGAAGAAATTATGATTAACGCTTTTCATACAGACGAACACATCCTTTATTCTGTTTAAATTGAATATAAAACGAAGAATATATAATATATAATAATTCCCTTTATTTAAAAATAAGAATTATGAATATACTGAATATACCAATATACGCATCCCTCTCTTTTCCTTTCCCTCTCGCCCTCCTTTCTCTTCGCCCTTTCTCTTTGCCCTTTCTCCCTATCTCGTCCACGTCCTTTCTCCCTTTCTCATCACCTCGCCCTTTCTCTCTCTCGTCCTTTACCTTTCCCATCGCAAGAAAAAAATAAACACGCTTCCTTCAGCAATCAGGTATATATATATATGTATAAAAAAAAACACGTTTGCTTAAGCAACCTTTCATCAAATATTTGAGGTATATATATATATATCTAATAGATCTTGTCTATAAGTTCATGGGCTTTAATATATAAATAATTATATTTTTTAACTTTAATGTTGTACGATTCAAATTCTCTCAATTCATCTGTCATAGTAAACAAATCTTTTTTATAATTATATAAATAATTACTATTATAATAACCTTCGATAGCTATATATTCAACCCTTCTCTCTTTCATAATATGTTCCTTTATACAGGGTAAAATATCACCAATCAATATATTAATTCTGAATAATAATTTTCTAATAAAAATATGTTTTGAATTCTTTAAAAATTCTTCCAAATCATTACTTGTATTATTAATACCAAGTTCTAAATTCAAATATTCCAACTTATTAGGAAGAATATATGCTAAATTTAACAATAATTTTGTACTAAGCTCATTTTTTTCATCATACATGAATAAAGTATTGTAACTATGAACATCTATGGAAAGATAATTAATATTTTGTATGAAATTTTTGATTAAACTCAATGCTAAACAAGCACTTTGAATACTAAATACATTTAAATCAAAATATTTAATTCCAATACAATAAGTATTAATTAATTCTAATAATTTGTGCTTCAATTCATTATTCATGAATGGTTTAAATCCAAGATTTTCCAAATATTTTCCAGATTTTTGAAATAAAGCTTGGATTGGTTCAATTTGTAATTTTTCATCATCTTCACGTATCATAAACAAAGATCTTAATTTAAATGGTTTATTGATTTCAATGATTTGTTGAATAAAATTTGAATTTAAAATATGACAATAAAGTATATGAATGGATTCCAAAGCATTCAATTGTTCAAATGCTTCTTTAATATATAATATATTTCTAAAATTAATTCCATGAAACATAATTACTTTTAAAGTATTTGAACTCTTAGGATCTATGATATTATATAATGGAAAACTATTATATGATGATGATAAATTACTATATAATGGATTATTATATGCAAAAAAGATTTTTTCAAGATCTCTTTGTGAATTAATAATTTGTAACAATTGCTTTTCAATTGTCACGTAATCATGATTAAAACTTTCATATTCTGAAAACTTAAAATGAAGGGATGAAATTAATTTACAATTAGAATGAAAACATCTTAAAAACTTATAATTGATAATTTCCTCATTAAAATGAAGTTTTAAATTTCTTATATTATTAATGAATTTTGGATTGTGTAAGATTAAATCAAAAGCTGAATTAAAATTTTCACTATTTACATTAAGGAAGGTATACGCAATTTCAAGTTCAAAAGTACGTAATTTAGCTTCATTTTCAACAAATATTTTAATTAATAATAAAAAAATAAATCCTGCTGAGCAGGTAATTACTTTGTTAATCTTAATCCAATTTACGATAGAGAAACAAATGGTTTGCGTATTTAAATTTTTAATAAACATGGAATAATTAAATAATGAATTTGAAAGAAATAAATTCTTATTAACTCCATATTCACTTAATTTTGCTTTGTCTTGTTCGTTTAATCTTTGTAAGTAAATATCAATAAAGCGAAAGTTTTTAGGATATTTCATTGAAAATGGGTCTTTCCATAATAATGGAATTGCCGTATGACACCATAATCTATTAACTAAAATGCATGAACGTAAAGTTGGAATATCATCTCGAAGATATTCTAAAATATCACTTGTTAATTCGGGTAAATCTCCTAACAAAATTTTTGAGCACGACATAATTATAAACGAAGAAAGAAAAAAAAAAGAAAAAGGGGAGAATTTTTTTAACAAATGTTCAAATTAGGTTAAATTTATAATGTTTCGGAATCGGTATTCCTCATTTATGGTGATCGGGTAGTACATTTTTGTTTGTGGCGGTCACCTGTCGTGCAGCCGTGCCGGTGTTTCTATTTATAGGTAACATGGAACCATCGTTTTTAACCAATCAATTTTACAGAAAATTGCAAAAAAATTTTTTTTTTCATAATTATTCTTATCTTATCTTGTATGTTAATAACGATTGCTCCCGCATCGTAAACGCATATATGAAACAATAATCTCGTTGGAAATAATAAATAGGGTAATAATTCACAGTTCGGTCGTATCAAACTAAAAGATGAATAAATTCAGCCCGTTTAATAATTCTCATTATTTTTTGTTGAACGAATAAGAGTGCATCAATTTGTTTATTATTATTATTATTATTGATACCGCGAAGTGACCCTACTATCAATATCCATCAATGGACTACTACTTTATATATATATTGATTTTCATCAATATCCATCAATGGACTACTTTACATATTATTAGCTTTCGATTAAAAGAGTTTTTGTGACTCTATTTTTAAGTATTGGATAGTCCGCCAAATTCTATTTTTATTAGCAAGTTATTAGATCCTAGATTTAAAAATGTATAGCATAAATTTATTAAATAACGAAAGGATATAAAATATTTCATTATTCTTAACGGTAATTATCTATAAATGATTGAAATATCTTAGATAGATGATATCTGTACTGCTCAAGTACCTACTGACGTAGACTTTTCAATGATGGCTTGATAATAAGAAAAATATCCTACTTTATTTAAAAATTGCATGGATTTTTTTACATAAATAGTACTCTGGAATTTTCCGTGGCTCGAACCCAATTATTTACGCTGATTCAGAATTAATTCGAATTAAGGTGAAATTTTAAAACAAGTCTTTTTTAAAATTTTGTTATGTATAAAATCGGTTACAATTTTAATTGAAGTTAAAAACAAGATTTTTTCCAACTAATTATGATAGATTATACATGGGCCATTCAAGCCATGCCAAAATGTTACGAAATTCGGCGAATCTTTGAACAAAAATTTGGTGTAATAAATTTCACCATTACGCCGAATTATCTGGAATAATTACGTTAAAATATAACTAGGGATTGGAAACCGTTGTGGGTCCAGAGTGATTATTTATCACCATTATCTTGTTATGACGCGTGTGGACAAATGGACTTCGTAACGTTCACGTAACGTTCATAAAGTTCATAAACATATATAGTCCTTCGCTTCGCTCTGGACAACAATCAATTTTTGATCGATTATACTAGCTTGCTGATGAAACTAATTGATTGATCAAAGATTTTGGAAACAATAAAATTCCTTATATAAAACTAATTTCAAGATAAATGGATTAAGATATATAATATATAGCCTTGGATTTAGTATTATAAGATAGTTGTAAAAGCTAATACTAAACTAGCATTGAATGCACTAGTGCATCAGGTGTCGATTGGCGTCAGGCGATAACGATACGCGACAGACGTAAATTGATACCTGGCGCGCATCACTTGTCACGTAAAATTAAGGTATAATTAAACATATTTTACATATTTTCATGATATGTATAATTTTATAAAAGTATAATATTTATTTTCAATAAAGAATGACACCATACAAATATATAAGAATTTGACCCCTAGATTTCCTAGATTTCATAGATTTCCTCAAGAAAATAAGTAAAATAAAATACATTAAAAAAAAAAATTTCAATAATAATAATAGTATTCTTCTTTGTCTTCTTCTTCATACCCTATAGTCTCATATTTAGCAACACCTAAATTTACATATTTCTCAATTATTCTCATATTTTCTTTATCATCAATCAAATAATTATATCCATAATAGTAATCTTTAATAATTATTAACGTAATTAATTTACTGAGTTTTCTATTCTTCCAAGTTATAAAAAAACATTCTAATTCATCTGGAGATACAACATCAGAATATGATTCATTGAATAATTTTAATTCACAAAAATTGGGTGGTGCATAATCTGCAACAGTTTCATATACTTCATTTTCGGTTAAATATCCTTCTCCACACCATATTTTAATACTTTCTAACTGACAACAATTAAGTAATATAGTTTTCAATATATCTGTTTCACCACTATTAAATATAACAAAAAGATTTCTAAGGTTTGGACAAAACTTAGCAATAGATAAGCTTAAAGTTTCATCATTTTCATCTGTATGAAATTTCTTGAGGTATTTCCCATTATTTTCTAAAAATTTCATTACATACTCAGGTTTCGGACATTGATAAGGAATTTTTAGAGTATGTAATTTAGAAAAATTAATATGCTGAAACATGTTAAATTCTTCAAAAGTTGATCCATTAAAAAATGAAAATATAAATTCTTGTAAATTTGTTAATAAACTGACAAATGAAAATGGTAATTTATCACTATCACCATAAAGGTGTAATCTTGTTATATTAGAGTGATTTTTTATAGAAGGTAAGATACTTTCCCAACTCGCATCATAAGCTGATAACGTTAAACTTTTTAGATTATCCTGTAAAGAAATAAATTCTTTTAACTCATTTAAAGCTTCATAATTATGAAAATCTATTGAAAGCGTTTGTATATTGTGACATAATTGTGCCAGTTGATAAAAAAAATTTGAAGGAAGGTTTGAACTGCAATGTAATTCTGAAAGATTCCTTATTCCAGGAAAATAAGGAAAGGAATAATTAATATGATAATGATTATTATAATAGAATAATTTTTTCAAGGAATAAATTTGCTTTTCAAACATTTTGATAATTTCATTTATGACTAAATAATTTCTATCTTCTAAGCTTAATGAATTATGGGGTGGTTTATGCTTGAAAGCATTATCAACTATTCTGCAAATATCACGAACTGAGAGTACTCTGCAAAATGCTACATAATTAAACAGAGGTTTTTTTGCTGTAGGTGTTGAAATAAAAATTCCATTCTTCTGTAAGAGCTCTTTTGATTCATTTGGAAGACAAGCATATAAAATACTAAGAATTGATGAGTCTATCCTAAATGGATTTTGCTGATAAGAACTCTTATTAAAATCCCAAATATTCCTCCACAAAATTCTAACAGAAATTCCACACCAAAGGCGGTTAGTTAGCAAACATGAATGCAAAGTAAGGGTATCTTCCTCTAAGCATTCAAAAATCTCATTTAAACAGTCAGATGGAAGTTGACAAGTCATTTTTATTATAATTTCAAAAAAAAAAAAAAAAGGAAAATTGGGTTGATGTTAAACCCTTTTTAAAAATATAAAGAAATATAAAAAGAAAAAAAAATACAAATGTAGTGTAATATTAACTTTTTTGTCGATCGGTACAATTATAGTGCGGGCTGAAATTACGTTTTCAAAATGGGTTGAAATTGATGTCAATCGCGTAAGGTGTTGACCCAATGACCCATATATGTAAAGGTTGGTCACATACGTAATGTATTTAATGTAACACAGGTTCATAGAAACACGTCCTGAAACCGATTAACGTAAATAATATTTTTAGATAAACATTGATTTTACCTTATTTTATACACATTGCAAATATTTTTTCTATAGACCAGAATCATAGAATTATTTTATTATATGTCGCACAAATCACACAAATGTATCTTTTTGAAATAAAATGTATTATCTACTTCCGGGTGATGTTCAACATTACAATCAAGGTCACGATTAAATACCTTTGAAACGTTTGAGCAAACTCTCCATTTTATAATTCATCATTGTGTCTTCAAAAAATCAAAAAAGAAACTATTCAACGAATCTCCAACAGTAATTCAAAATATTCCCATTTTCCCTTTGCAGATTATACAAACTTTCATATGTTGCTTCAGCAACATTATCCTGTCGCACAACTCTGTGAATCCTATGAACTCTTTAATCATGAATAAATTTTTTGTATAAATGATAAAATAAAGATTTTTCTTAAGTATTACCTTCTATCAATAATTTAATATGAACAAGAAAATTTATCACTTCCACAAACTGCTCCAGAATCTACAGTATAAAATGTAAGATGATAAGTATTGGTTATTCTTGTTTTGGTTTCCTAACATTTATTATATGCTATGTTAGTTTTTAGAAATACAATGAGCTGTTGGTTGATTTGAAATCCAATACCTCTTTTTATATTTCATTGATGATAATTTTAGTCAACAAGATAGTTTTAGTCTCATTTTATTCATCAGGATGTAACTCCTTTCGTACATCCCGTCCAAACTAGTCTAATTTAACGTTAGCTATGTAGCACCAAATTGAGGTCCTTATGTTCTCTGTTTTAATTTAACAATGAAAAAAAGTTAGTTTTAGTCTTCATATTTATACATCAGAATGTAACATCTTACATACATTCCGTCCAAATTAGTCTGCATTCAAAGCCCAAATTGATGTAGCAATATTAGCAAATCCCGAATTTGTAATTATACGCCAAAATTGTGTTCTGGTATTCGTTGAGGTTCGAATGTTTTATGTTTTAATTCAACAATGAAAAAAAAGATAATTTTAGTCACCATATTTTATTCATCAGAATATAATTCCTTACGTACATCCCGTCAATCCTGAATTTGTAATTATACGCTAAAATTGTGTTCCAATATTCATTGAGGTCCGTATGTTCTATATTTTAATTCAACAATAAAAAGAAGAGTTTTAGTCTCCATATTTTATTCCTCAGAATGTAACTCCTTACGTACATTTCGTCCACATTCAGGGCTCAAATTTTTAACGTTGGCGATGTAACAATATTAGAAAACCCCAAATTTGTAATTATTGTGTTCTGATATTCGTTGAGGTCCGTATGTATCCCGACATCCCGACTAGGAACGACAAAATTACACTCAATCCTGTCTACAAGCTCAGGAAGCATAACATCTCTCAAACGTCATTTGATCTGCCAAATCTCGTCTAGAATTTTAATTATCGATCCATTTGCTCGAGAACGCCCGAAATATAAGAAAAAAAAAAATAGGTTAATTATTTTTTTTTTTATAAAATAAAATAAGAGTATAGTAAAAAATTAAAAAATTAAAAAATTTTAAAATAAATTGTAAATTTCTATTTATTTATTTATAAAATAATTAACAAAAAAAAAACATAATGAATAAAAAAAAAGTTCAACCTAAAATATAATCAAAATTTACATATTCTAACTATATGAAAAATAAAATAAAATCAAAATAATCTAAAACAAAATTTCCTAAAGCTATAAAATTTAAATATAATCTAAATCTTCATAATCTGTAATTTCAAATTTCTTAATAATACCTAAATCAATATATTTTTCAATGATTTTCAAATTCTTATAATTTTTGTCTAAGCTTGACACAATACAAGTATCAGTAATAAGAATCAATGAAATTGACTTTTGTGGTATATGATTTGACCAATTTATAAAAATGGAATCTAATTCTTCCGGGAATATTTCAATTTGTGCATCATAATGATAATATAATATTATTTCATCAATGTTTTTTGAATATTCCAAAATTACTTCCAATGCATCTTTCTCATTTATAAATGGTCCACCACACCAAACTTTAATACTTTTTAAATTGTGACAACTTTCAACAATTATTTTTAATGTTTCCAATTCATTACTTTCAATTCCGGTCGAAAGATTTTTAAGAATTGGACAATATCTAGCAATTGATAAATTTAATGAATTATTATTATAACCCATACTATAATCACAAAAATAGATTTCTTCCAGATTTTTTCCATTATGTTCCAAGAAATTTACTAATAATTCCCAATTAGGAAGTTCAAATTTAAATTTTAAAACTTGTAACTTTGGAAAAACAGTGTATTGTAAAATTTCAAAATCTTTAAACCATTCTTTAACTTCATATGACAATTGTAATTCTTGTAAATTTGTTAACCTAATGATAAATGATAATGAAATACCATCACTACCTCCATAAAGTCGTAATTTAGTCAATGTATTGGGAACTCTTGTCAATAATAAAGATAAATCTGTCGGAACATAATATATTGATAAATTAAGACATTTTAAACTTTGTTGAACGGAGATTAAATTTATCAACCCATGAGGAAGACGATCTACAATTGTGATGTCTAATAATGAGATATTATTACAGATTTGAGATAATTGATAAAAAAAATCGGAGGAAGTATCTGAACTACAATATAATTCCGAGAGATATTTTAAACAATTCCTTGCTCCAGGGTAGGAAGTAAAACCAATTTCCTGATAGTGTAGATAATCTAAAATCTTTAAAGAAGTTATTTGATTCATGAACATTTTGAATACTTCCTGCGTCGTTATATGCGCTTTAATAAATAAATTTTGTGGAGAAATGGAATGGTTTCCAATTTGTTTTCCAATAAGTAATTCAAGCATTTTATAAGTTCGTTTAACTGGTAGAATATTACAAAATGATGCATAATCGAAAGTTGGAATTTCTAAAGTTGGGGTTGAAATCATAATTCTATTATTGGATAAAATTTTTTTCGACTCGCTTGGGAGACAAGCAATTAAAGTTCTAAAATCTGAAAAATTGTAATTCCAGGCATTTCTCCATAAAATCCTTATGGAAACTTTGCACCAAAGTCGATTTACCAAAATGCATGAACGTAAAGTAAATTCATCATCAGCTAGATGTTCAAAAATCTCATCCAAACAATCAACGGTGAGTTGAGGCATTGTTGTTTTTAAATATAACAAATAAAGTTTTAAGTTTTTTTTTAAAAAAGAAAGTCGTTCGTTAACTGAATAAAAATGAGACGAAAAGTCGTTCTTTTTATAAAGTTTCATTGAACATAATAGTCATGTGGCATACTACTATTTGCAAGTTGGCTTAGTGTTGGCCTGGTATTCCACATCTGATATTATAAGATCTTTTTTGTGTAGAACAATCCAATTAAATTTTTTTTTTATCGAAAGATAAAAGTTGAAATAAAAAATTCCATCAATTTTTAAAGCCATTTGATATTTCAAAGCCAATTGATATTCCTTGGATGATGATGAGACTTCCCTAACGGGCTGTTTATAGCCGACCGACGCGCCTGAATTCTGGATGCCAACCAGATAAAGTCGGTGTTAGTATAAGCATATTTTATATTTAATAATTATTCTTATAAATAAATGTATCCGCAAGTGACGAATTATTTAGAATTAAAAATGTTTAGATTTATTTACTTTAGAGTAAACGTTTTAATAAATTTCTTTTTTTGTTTAATGAAAAGAAAGAAAGAAGTATTAAATAACAATTTTAACATATCATTAAATATTTTTGTAATTTAAGTTATCCTTCTGTATATTTGAATATTGAATGTATTAATGCTCAATTCAAAGGATTACCGATTGTTTTGCACGTTAGCCCTGTAAAAAAATCGATCCGTTTTCTTTTTTCCGTAAAAGGCTCATGTATCCGCAATTAATAGCCTTATATCACGGAATTTATCAAATTATTTACATTTCCGTGAATGGATCCGTGAAAGGCTCAGTTTTTACAAAAATAACGGATAAAATTTTTTTATTAAAAATTCGTATACAAGAGATATATGCAAAATGATAAGCGAATTTTGTAATTAGCATAAAAAAATGACTATAAAACCAGGTAACAGTTTTTTATTTAACATAAAAATTTAACCTACATATTAACAGTCACGTGTGTCACGTTTATACAACCTGTATAATAAATAAATCGCCGCAAACGTGAATTATTTATATTATATATGAAAACGTAGATCCGTCATCGATTATCAACCTTAACAAATCAGCCACAAAGAAATTTTTTAAAAAAAATTGTACTAATCGACTAACCGCTTACGTAGCCAAACGGGTAAACGTGCCACTTCATACAGCCACTCCCATATCATGAAAATTTATCGTTATTATTGATAATTAAACGTGTTTAGAGATTAATTAATTAATAAATATAAATAAATAAAATAAAACTTTTAACCATAAATAAGGAATGACGTAAAAAATTATATTAAATGTAGTAGTAGTAACTTGAATAATTTTTTTTATAAAGAAATTATCATTACAAAATATAATACAATTATTTAACATAATAATAATTTTTATGAAATTACTCTTTAAAAATGAATAACCATATGAACGATGCAAATTAATTTGAGATCGAGAGAACAATCAAGAAAAATTTTTTTTTGAATTTTAAAAACATCTATTTATTTATTCATTATTAAATAATTTCAAATTTTCAAAGATTTTCGTTATCTTTTTCTTTTTCTTCTCTTCTTTTTGGTTTTTCTAATTTCAATCAATGTTGTTTCAACAATTGGCGGTATAGAATTACCTCGAATTTTAAAAAAAGAATTTAATAATGATTCTCCAATTGTTTTCATTTGTGATTTGAACATCTTTATTAAATCTTCAATTATATTATCGGTAAGTTGAAAACCAAGATTAATTAGTTTTTGTAGCTTCCCAGCTACAGTATCTGAACTTGGACACACCCAAGTTTTTATTGGATTTGGAGGAAAACACACGACAAAGAAACCTTTCACAACTAATCCATTCATATCACTGCATACTTCATTATATCCAATTTTCTTCCATAATGTCACAAGTTCCGGGTGGATTAGAATTGCTCTCGATATTAAATTAATTTCTAGTTTATTTTCATAACCATCTTGCGATGGAAATTGTTCAGTTACACCTACGGAATGTTGGTATGCTGTAGTAAGTCTTGGACGAGATGGAAAGGGAATGAATTTTTTATTTAAAATTAAATCCTCAATTTCTTGAAGATTTTTGAGAAGAATGGGCGGTGCTTGATCGATCGCATGAGCACCAGCAGTTAAGTAATGGAATAATTCTAAATCGTTTCCCCTGATAGTAAAATTCAATTTCAGCTCATTAGTTGCTTCAGTTATTAATTTCGTAAAAACTGAAAGAGGCAAATCACTTGCCCAGGGTTTATTTTTAGGTGCTTTAATATTTGTATTGTATTTAATTCTCATCTCGATTAATCTTTGATCGTAAGTACCGAATTGCATCATCAATCGTTGTACAATGTATCTTGATATGATCGCTTTCTTAGCAAGTAATGTTTGTACAACTTCTACTGTTGCGAAATTTCCTAACCTAATAGCATGAAATAAAACATGTGCTCTACCGTATTTATAAATCAACCATTCGGCGCGAGCATGAGGATTTTGTGAGGTAGAATACCAATTACGATTGATAAGAATGAGTGACATAGGTCTAGATACGTATTTAAAGATTTCAACTTTTAATTCACTGCTTAAAGACTCCATCGTTTAATTTTTTTTTTTAAAAAAAAAAAAGAAAAAAAAATGTTTCATTTATAGTGTAGGAAAAATTTTTTATTTGATTTTAATTTTTTTTTAAAAAAAATTGTAGGAAGAATCTGAAGAAAAAGGGACGTTGAAAAATAACCTTATTTATATTTCGTCGATCCTTTATAATGATAATAACGGCAAAGGGCGTTACCTTTTTTCTCTTTCAACATGAACAAAAACATTACAAAAAACGTAAATCATTGGTTTATCGCAAAAATTAAAATTATATTTGATAATAATATATATATATTAATTAATTTGTACACATTGACCGATAATGAAAAAAAATTCTTTTTTTTTTATACGTATTATTACTATATCTGCATAGTGCATAAAACGAAATGAATTATTAAAAAAGGATATTCTTTCACTATAACGATAATGAAAAAAAGCTAAACCATTTTTGTATTAATTGTATTAATTTTAAACTGAAAAAGGACAATAATCACAGTAAAAGGGGCTGTGCCCCATAAAAAGATTGAATATAAATAATATTATAGTATTGTACTATCACTTTCAAGAAAAGCTGGATTTTATTGGTGCGAAAATAAAATTTTACGATTTCATTGTTCGCGTGATCAGCATTTTTTCACAGTCCGCCTGTCAATAATTAACTATTAACAGGAATAAAAACGTCGATTAGATGACATATGAATAATCGATTAACCAAGGATCCTAACCAATTAATTATTCGATTAACACTGAAAAATATTGATTTTTTTTTTTGGCACCAAATTAATTTTGTTCATTTTAATCGAATAACCGACTCTTAATTGGTTAAGGTTACGGTACATTTCACCGAATTCCATTTCACCGAATGGACATTTCGCCGAATGGACATTTTCATGAAAAAATATTCATGGCGCAGTGAAAATAAAAAATAAATTATTTTGAAATTTTTCTAGAAAAAATTCTTTATGTACTATTTTAGTATAAAACAATAAAAATAAAATAATTTTTCGGCGATGTTCATTCGACAAAATATCTATTCGGCGAAGTATCCCTTCGGCGAAAAGTCCCGATACCGTCGGTTAAACCGTCTTAATTATCAGTTAATCAAATCCAATAATGAAAATAATTAAATAAAAAAAAATTTATGACTCAACTACCGTAGTTATAATACTAGGATGGAAATATGTTTATCCTATCCGTTCTATTAATAACATTTTTTTAATTTGTTTATTTTTTTTTTTTGTTTTTGCAAAAACATGAAATAAATTTAGGCGCAGATTTTTTTTTCAAACAGGTTACAGTATACGGTAATACGGAGGAATATCCGTTTGAAATTTATGACAAAGAAATTTGGCTTAGATGAAGTCTACAATGTAACACAAATTATTGCTTCTATACTTTTCTTATTTAGTTGATCTATTGTAAATTTTAGGACCACATTTGTTACTATTGAATGATGCATTTGGAAATACCCCCAAAAAATTTTATAAATCTTATTTGTAGACCCTACCCTTTATTCACTGTCATTAATCGATCTAACTTTTTATGGATTAGTATGTGAATAAAAAATAACAATATTAATGCCTTAACAAAATTGCAGATCCAATTGCCGAACGTGTATGCATAATCTTGGCCAAAAGTCACATGGTGCATTTCCTTTTTCGCGTTTTAACGGTCGATGGAAAGGAGATTCCATCTCAATGAATTACGCAAAAAGAGTAGTATAACAATGTGATCATCGAGGGCGTATTTTATGAGACCTTTTAAGATATAGACTTCTGTAAATGGAACATTAAATAGTGATTTAAAAAAAACAAAATTCTTTTTTTCTTTTTTTTTCTTCTTTTTTATTTATTGTACAAATTTGCTGTTTATTTTAAAATAATTGGTACAAACATATATGTGAAACATAATAGATAAACGAATAAAATGTATTGTATGATTTTTAAATAAATTTTACAATGAATTTTTGCACACCACACAAAAAAAAAAAAATATTTTTTTCATTTTTTTCATGAGGACCTTTCAAAATCTTTAATAGGTTAATCAGTTTTACTTGATTCTAACATTCTAACATGTTTCAAATGATAATCTATTAATAATTCTAAAATTCTTGGCGTTTCAGAATCAGTCATCTGTTATCTTTTATATATATATATATATATATATATATATATATTAAATAAAATAAAATAAAATAAAATAAAGAACCTAAATGAGAAGTTTTATCAAAGAAAATAGTCTATATGAATAAATATGGGTAAATGTTTTCTTTTTTATTCTCTAAATATACATACTATATATATATATTTATAATTTAAAATTGTATTATCTTAAAAAAAAAAAAATAATAATTTTCAAAAAAAAAATTCATATGACGCAATTTTCTGAGTAGATCAGGTAATGATCAGAAAATCGACCGGAGTTAGAATATTAACAAGATCCACACATATATTGTTTAATTACAATATATTATTTAAATTATGATCATCGTCATTGAACTTTCCGTATAATCACGTTATTATAAATTTTTGTTAAATTGGATAATTAACCTTTATAATATCACAATACAGTACGGTACGTAAATAATACTATACTATTATACGTTTTTACAATATATACTTCTTTCATAAATGTTTAAGAATAATTATTATCAAATTTAGATTATTATTATAGATGTAAAAGATGTCCTGCTTGTTGTTTTAGAAATTTATCCAATATTCGTTTAAAATAAACTTTAAGATAATACATATACAGTATAATTTATTGTACTAAATGTCTCAGTACAGAACAATACGTACGTACAATACTAAAATGTACTGTACTATACGAAGTGCCGAATGAGTGATTTATCCGGTATCACGTGATTTAAATACGATTTAATATTTAATGCGATTTATTCAGGTTCTTAACTTCTTATCCTAGACCGCGACTGTATTAATCACGTGACAATTACTCTGAAAAAACTTATTTATATAGGAAGAACCTGAACTGGATAAATTTGTCCTATTAATAATCGGGGATCCTTAACCTGTACCCCGGGTATACGATATTATTCTGTTCCCCCTTTTTCTTAAATATGATTGGCTCAAATTGTAGCCACAAATTTCGTGTAACTTTATCTTAGAAAATATCTTATTTCGCGAAAAAAAACAAGAACGAAAAAAAACAAGAGCAAAAAAAATTTAATTACACATATAACAAGAAGGAAAAAATTTTTATAACACTCAATATATTTTATTCAGTTTTTTCAGTTTAATAATTTTATTTTGTATTTTATTAAACTTTAATAAACAAACACAAAATTTTCATAAAACTTGTATATACACAGTAAATTACTAAATTTTATTACAAAATCTATGAATACTAACTCAGACAATAACGAAAATTAATATTTAAATATTTTTATATTCATTAAACAGTTATACTTATTCAAAATTAGTTATGTTTGGTCATAATGTTTAAATTACGCGACGAAGTATCTGTATAAAATATAACAAAAAAATAAAAAAAAATAAATATAATTTCATAAATATTCACACTTAACTTGATAAAATTAAATACTTAATAGTCCCATCTCTGCAGAACAACTTTATTTAACTCTTAAGAACGCGTTTACTTTGGATAAGCTGTTGTAATTATATTAATAAAGTTAAAAAACAAGCGCGCACTGTAATTTTTACTATAAAAACTCTTATAAACCTCAAGTAATTTTATAAAATTTTAAATTAATTATATAACTTCATACCTTTATTCCTGTAAAACGATTTCATAGAAATGAGAAAAAGTGAAAGAAAAAGAAAGAGAGTGTGTATACAGTTTATTGTTGAAGCGTAAACGATAAACAAATAAAATCAGTGTGTGACGTAAGGGGGAACAGGATAAGTAACGTATACCCCTAGGAACAGGTTAAGATTCCCCTTAATAATCATATAAAATCACGTGATACCGGATAAATTATTTTATTAATTCTTACCAAAATAGGATTTACAATTTATAAAGTATCATTTAATATCTGATATTATTATTTAGCCGAAATTGTATTTTTCGTTAAATTGATCTTCGGGAAATATAATTGTTCGGGAATATCAGTTATATCATATATCACAGAGTCAATCCGTTTCGGCAACATCGGGACAAATTAATGCCGAAAATCAGTCCCGTCATTGGATTGTGTTACCAAAATGACAATCTTTCTCGGGTTTTTAATTTCCTCATTAGTTTGTCTCAAAAAGAGTTGGACTTCAATCAATTGGTTTGCGAAAATAACTCCGACAATACGCCTCTCAAAATAGAAATACTTAAATATTGTCAGATTGAAATTAATTTTTTCATGTGAAATAAAACAATTCCGGGAAATATATTTTTCCAGTACGCTACGTCCGGAACCGAACCAGGCCAATCTATATAAAACGATCCTGAATCGGTTTGATTGATTAATTTAAAGAAATTTCCTTTTTTTACCAAGTACTCATTATAATCCTCTGTCGCACTAAGTGTCACTCATGATCACCTTTCATTACTAATCTTTAAAAATTGCGAGTGATCATAAATGACGGGAATCTTTCGTCATATAGATAGCTGGGAAATTACTAATTTAGCTTAAAATAGTTTTTAAAATAGTTAAAATAGTTGATATTTAATGAGTAACACTCTTCAGGGGATTAACATGATTTTTTTTCCCTTCTGGGAAAAAAATCAACTCCCCATGAAATAGAGGAGTTGTCATTTGTTAAACGACCTGGCAGTTTCTTCATTCATTCACCAATTATTATAAATAATCAACTTTTTATTCATGAATAATAAGAGTATAAATAGATTCATCTGCAATGAGTTTAGAATAATATAATGTAAAAAATAATATTGTTATCCCAATTTATTTTTAATTAAAGAATCACTCGCATAATATGGGAAATCCATTTGAATTGAATAAGCATTTTATTTTTAATTTACTTATTTCATTTGCGGTAAAATATATTTGACGATAATGAAAACCTCCATCGTCGTTATTATTGTGGATCAAGGCTAATGGTTTTATCCGTATCTAACATATTGTACAAGAAAAC